ATTTATTTGATTTTAACAATTTATTATTTATTTATAATTTTTTTGGAATCAATCTTGCAAACTGCATATACAAATAATACATTATTTTAGGAACTTCCAACATTTTTGTTACATTTTATATGTTAGTAGTCTACTATARTAAAATTAGCATATTTTCAATTTTTTTACTATTTACTAATTTTATAGAGAACTGTAAGTCAAGTTAAAAAATGCTGGCACAACATCAAAACAAAAAGAAAATCTGAAATAACTTCTSATAAACAAGCGGTTTTGAGAACTGGAGGTGGACCAGCAGTTGAAAAATTAGTAGAGAATCCATTGATCGATGAATTTGCTAACATAGCATGTGAAATTCCTGGGGCCATTGACAGTGATACAATCGCTAGTCACAATATTACATGTGTAACTACATCTGATGGATATTTGGAGTTTAATATCCAACCTAGTGATGATAATTTATYTGGTAATAACAAAATTAATGTTAAAATTAGATGTAAAAATTCAAAAACAAAATTATTTTATAGATTCAAATATTAATGATACTGATGCAAATTTTACAAATGCTGTCCCAAGTAAATCTATAGAAAAACAAGTGGAATTACCAAGGCAGTATTTAAAAAACAAAAGATCAAACTTGTCAGCTGAAGCGACAAGCCGTGTTSAACGAGTTGAGATTCAAAAAATTAATGATGAAGAGATACATAACTTGTTAAAGGAAGAATTACTTTTAAAAATAGAAAATGAGAGAGAACTTCTGAAACGAAGAAAAATTGAAACTGAAGTCGCTTCTAATGATTTAATTTTTCGTAAAGAGAAACATTTAACAGAAATGGAATTATTAAAAAGAACTATTAAAAATAATATATACCTAATATATTTTGTATATTGTTAAACTTGATAAGATTGTTTAATTTGTTAAAATTTGTTTTCTCTAGTAACAAAAGTTATGATACTGTATTAAATTGTATTTTATTAATTAGGTATGACTATTATTACATAAATATTTGTTGTGCTTTACAATCAATTTTTAAATATTTAATTTGTTAAAATTTGTTTTCTCTATTATCAAAAGTTATGATACTATAAAGTATAAAGTATAAATTATATTTTATTAATTAGGTATGACTATTATTATATAAATATTTCATATTTGTTATGCTTTACAGTCAATTGTTAAAATTTGTTTTCTCTAGTATCAAAAGTTATGATACTATATTAAATTGTATTTTAGCATTAGTTATGACTATTATTATATAAWTATTTTTTAAGCTTTTCAGTCAATTTTTTAAAAGGTAACCATTTTTTTTTAATATACTTTTTTATGAGACTGATATATAATATAATACTTGTTCAATAAGTTTTATAATTTGTTTATTAGCTGTATTTCTGTTGATTTTCACAAATTATATCATTAAATAATATTCTAAGAAAAATGCATATTTATGAATTCTGATCTAACTATATTTCCATACAAATTAGGTGGTCCATTATATTCTTGATGAAACATTTGGTTGTTATTCAAAACTTCATCTRTGTGTGGTAGGTTTTCATATCTAAATATTGCAATGTTGTGTAACACTGCACATGCTGATATTATTAACAATGTTGTACTTAGTTTAGTAGCTAACTTCCTMGATAAACAACTAAATCTTCTTTTGATTATTCCATTTAGTCGTTCTACGGTATTTCTTGTGGCTATATGAGCTTTATTGTATCTTTCTTCAGCTCTATTTTGTGGATTGCGCACAGGAGTAAACAAATATCCCAATTGTGGATAACCACCATCACCTAAGAGACGTCCTGGTAATTGTTTTTGTTCATAAATTATATTGATATTACTGTTGCTATAAATAAACAACATATAATATGTGATTACTTAAGGAATATATTTTATATATTTTGAGTATTTCAGTTTTTACAACTTAAATACATTCTTTATTCTAAAAAAGTCTAGAGTTAAAAAAATATACCCAGAATTATTATAACAAAACATGTTTGTACCTAAAAATACGACTATCATGAACAGATCCTGGCCACCTAGCTACAATATCCAGTATTTCACATCTAGGTCCACTCACAATCTGTASATTTATTGAAAATATCCCTTTTCTGTTCCTGAAATTTTCCCCTTGGTCACCTCCAGGATTTAGTATTGGTATATGGGTACAGTCTATTGCACCATCAACACCAACAAATCCTGAATAAAAATAATTTTTCAACTGTGTATATACTTATTTAAAGCATAATAAACAAATTATTTTGAAATTACCAGCAATATTTRAAAATAACACTTGATTATGTATTTTTCCTTCTAGGGTAGCAGGAAACTTTACAAAAGTCGGTAACTTACTTGCTATTATTCTTGAAATATCTTTTACACATCTACTTATAGTTGGTTGGCTAATACCAACCAAATCACCAGTAACTATCTGTAATGAAAAATAGAGTAGATCACTATCATTACTCACTCAATTTACCTACTCACTTGGAAATTTCCAGTTCCATAATACCGTAACACTGCAAGTAGTTTCAATAATGGTGGAATTGGAAGGCCTCTCATTGAATAGTCATTGAATTCGGCTTCAATGTCATTAAATACGAGGAGCATTAAACTTTGCAATACTGTAGTTTTAGAAAATCTATTAAATTTAAATTTAAATTGCATTTTAGTGAGATGAWATTATGAATTATAATTTCTGTTGTAAATATTTTAATTTATATAGGTAGAATTATGTCCATAGCTAAAAATAATCGGTCTGTATAAATGCATTTTAATTATTTTTTGGATATTATATTATAATATATGCTATTCATAAGCATGCTTATGTGGTAGTTAGGATAAGCACTTTATTACTCTACAATTTTTTTTTCATACTATGAATATTTTCGTATTAATAAAATGTGTTCAACAAATTAAACTGTAAAAAGTGAATATTAAAAAAAAATATTGTTTTATTAATACCTAGGTAGGTTATCATTTGATTTTTATTTATTTATAATAAATTTACTCACATGATAATAAATTACCATTTGGAATATTTTTATTTTAACTTAGGCTTTAGGCATAAATAAAAATAAAATAAATGACCTCCATATGACCATATAATATGGTGATTTCTATTGAAAATTATTTCACTTACCTGAATCTGTTAAAAAATTCTTTATCGTCATAAAAATCAATTGGATTTTG